TAGGGGAGGAGGATATGCATGTGTTTTTCATATAAATAGAACCTGGATCTCAGCTTCCACCTGAATTTAACTCTGTTTTTAGTTTGGAGCCTTGTCTTTTTGAATTCCTTGCTCTTGGAGTGCAACCTGCRTTGGAAATAGTTCCTGTCTGCTTGGTTGTTTGGGAGGAGTGAAACTCAAATTTGAGACAAACTCTTAATAGTTTGATCTGCTACAAAAAAAAGCCCCCAAAGCAAGGAAACAAATGCGTGTGATGGAAACCACTAGAGGATGACTGAGAACTGCTTTTTTGGTGATTCATGTTTTGAGTGCATGCACAAAATGATTCAGATACTTTTCTGAAAAATGCGGAGATAGAAATGATGAGATTTGGCTCTGCTTGTATGGGGGACCAAAGAATCTCAGTGAGTCAGGCAAAGGGAATCAGAAAGGGTCACTTACTGTTCTGTTTTTCCCCAAACATTTTACTAAACAAATGATTACTTGTAAAAAGGGAAAATGSTAGTACTCATATACTAGGAAAACAAGGTCGGATGATTCACTTAGTTGATAATGGTACAAGAACTTACGGGTATCATCTCTGGAAGCACTGAAACTGATCCTGTTGGTATTCTCTCTGGTAACTTGAGTTGGTAAATATGAGAGTATCTGTTTTTTCTCAGCTCCAAAATTGTTGAAAGTAGAAGTCTGTGTTTATTAAAGTTCTTACAACARAGAACTGAATCATACAATTTACACTGAATTTATGGGTACTGTCTTCTTTACTCAGCTCTCTCTTGTTATGGGGAGAATGGGAAGATGCCCAGATTCCAAGGGAGTGTTGTCTATTCTTATGAATCTCAGTGATAATTCACTTGCACATAGTGGTTGTTAAGTGTAGACCTGAACCACRGTTTTTAGTCCTTCTGCTTGGAACGAATTTCTTTCCTTCTCACTATTCACCAGGTCTCTGTAGGTAGCTGACTGCTGTGACGGGCATGAGAGCCTCCTTTAAATTAAAAACAGAAGCTGGGGAAAAGCTGTATTTCTACTGAACAGCCCATTGCTCAATTTAATTGTTGATCTTATAGTTCCCATATGGTGGCATCATGAAGTAAGATGGTTCTTCTCTGTACAGCTTAAATTGTATATTCTTAAAGTTCAGTTCTCAGAAAACTGAGAAGATGTTGGCTAGTTTTCACCATGGCTTAGGAAAGCCTTAGCATGGGGATCTAGAACTCTGTGGCATGTTATAGTCTCTGCTTAATCTTTGGTCAGAAGGTTACCTTTGCAGCATTTACAGCTAGGAACTTAAATGTATAATACCAGCTCTTTGGAAGTGTGCTCAATTGTTTTATCACACACTAGGAAAGTGGCTTARTAAGTTCCTGAAGAAAAAAGGAAAAGTACGTTTTTTATGAGACAAACCCCCCAGCAGGCATTTGCATAGAATCATAGAAACATTTAGGATGGAAAAGWTCTTTCCAACCACTAACCTTATAGTGCCAAGTCACCACTAAACTGTGTCCCTAAATTCTTCGCATCACTGGCTACAATGGAGTAAATTTTTACCCCTGCATCGTAAAGTATGCTGACAGTGAGTTCTTTTATGTATTGTGCATATACATGACTATCTGATACTGTCTGCAGAACACACACAATATATTGGAAAAATATCTTCCAAGTTTGATAAGATGCAAAAAAATAAGGAAGGGGGGGGAAGCAATCTGATGCATTCTCTAGTTGCTGGAAAAGATATAAAAACAAGTCAAGTTCTTCCCTGTAGGATGCAGCTGTACTGCAAAACATCTTCAACTTCATTTCTTGCACATTTTTCTCCTATTTTTGTGGGTTCATCCTATATAGCAGTAAGGTAAACTGTAAAAATTGCTATATACCAGCTGAAACTTCAAGTGCCTTGGGACAGCAGATTTGGTTGCCAACAAGTATTTAAATTCTATGCCAGATCTAAATTTCTGTAGCTTTTCTTATAAACATTTCTGTAGCTTTTCTTGAAATAGTTGAACTATAGACGAAATAATGTTTTCATGATAGAGTTCTTGTTCCATGTGTTTCAGGCAACTCCTTTACATCTTTACACAATTMTTTATTACGTCTTCAAGTAAAGTTTCTGTGTGACTGGTTTTCATTAAGGCCAGTTTTGGTCACRATAAGAAGTAATTCTCAAAATTCTATTCTTCCACAGCTTTGCTGAATGACTTGCAGAGTAAAGGAGTACAGCTCTTAGAAAGGCTCAAAGGCATTTAATAAGGGATAATATTACRGATGCTTATAAATGGCTTCTTGAAAGTGTAGTGTGAACATATAACCTTTATTTTCATTAGTCTTTTAATGCTTTGATTTATCTCATTCAGCTTCCTATATAATTCAGCTTGAATTTTAATTAGCCATTAATGGAGCAATCAATGCAACCATAGAGCTGTTGATAATTCCAGAGTTGTTTCTGGTAGCACTRTGAAGTTAAACTGGGGACGGTGCTGGGGATAATTTTATCCCCATATTTATGTGACTTTCGTATGTTGGGGATTTTGTTCACAGTTCGGTAAAGCAGTAAATGTGATGGGTGGGCTGCAAGCCTACAGACATCCACTTGAGGTTGTTCGAGACACTGTCTGACATGCAAGTCGGTCATAGATCAGATTTTGATTGCGTAACTAGCTTAATTGTAATCAGTGGGTAAATAGGGAGCTTCAAGCATGAATTCATTCATAAATCATGGACTGATTGATCAGTCTGTGGGCAGACAAGATTATTGCTACTTAGTACAGAGGTTGATTTCTTATAGCTATGTCTTTACCAATAAGAACAGATCATTGCACTGTTCACAAGTGCACACCAATTAAATTTGCCAAAAGGGTAAAATGTATTGCAGCATATGCCAGCCCAAGGTAAATACTGGGTGTTGCATTGCTTCTTGTATCTTTAGAACTGGAAAAAAAATTCAACTGTGATTGCTTCTTAAAGAATGCAATGAAAGTCTTGTAGAAAATGGAACTTAAGTATTTGGAGACTGATGTGCTTATACTTCCTTCCCAGAACAGCTGCTCTTAGGTCACAGTTGTTTGACACTCACCTCTGGGCTTTGTAAAGATTTATGTGTTTGTAATAAGAGCTGATACTGTGTTGCGGTGATCCAGAACGGCGCAACAGCAGCCTGCTTTCGGGTGCATGTCTTAATCTGTCAGATCTCTTTTCATGCACAGCTGATAGACTTGCTTATCTCATTTGAAGCATGTAAACAAAAGTTCTGATAATGTCTGACCCAGAAATTAACTCTCACACTAGTAAGGTGAAGGATGTGAAGGTGAAATGCATGCTGTGGTTATTTCTGCCCKACTGGCTCGCATATTATATGATACCTGAGTAGTTAAAATTCGATCAGTTTACAGCAGTAAAGCAGTCCCATATCCTTCCAAAAGGTCTCACTGCCACATCTGCCARTGCCGTGGGGATGTCTCTGAGATGCCATAGTCAATATTACTTAAACTCCACAATATTAATGAGTTTAAYATTGTGATTTTTACTGTCATGCAGCCCAATTACTGAGTGTTTTTGAAAAAAGTARTTCTGTGAAAGCAAGACTTAAATGGGCACACTTGAGTGTTTCTGTAATATCAGGTTGTATTTTTGTTGCTTTCCACTTGAAAAAAACACTCWTGCCAAGTCTTATTTTGCATGTTACAGCATCCATACAGAAGTAGCCTTCCATCTAGCTGCTGTGTCATGCAAATACACATTTTTCAAATGATAAATAAGAAATAACCTGTATGTCTGTAATGGTTCAGGTTTTTGTTTGTTTTAACACTTGATTGTGTTAAAACAGCTGATTTCCCAATGCTTTCTTCATTCATTTGTTGCACAGATTGCTTCTAGCACAGTGGTATTTATTTCTTTCATGTTTTTTTTTTGTTGGTCTGTCTATTAAATGGGTATGGATGCGTTGCATTTGATAACACAAAACCTGTGTGTGGGTTCCTGTTCTGTACACACCACTGTGTACATGTATGCTCCTGGGTGTAGAGCTGTAGAAGGGTGTTCCTCCACCGTTAGAGAAATCCCCATTTCTTGGCTTCCCACTCTGTTCTGGATAAGCATTATTTGAATGGTTCTCTTTATTTTGCTGTTTGGAAGGGAAAGCCATTTTGCTGGCRAAAGGAAACATCTTCTGGCCTCTTCCTACTTGATTGTAGTGCTATTTATCTCTTCTTCCTAGCTGTTAGGTACTCTGGGAGTGAGGTGGTCAAATGAGAGGGTTGTGGCTTTTGAGAGTGGTATGTCCTGTTGCAGGACTAACTTCCCTTCTGTGCCCTGCAGGCTGAGGTTTGTAGGGAAAAGAGCACTCTTGTAACTGCCTGGCTTACAGCTTTGAGAAAAGGTGCACTCCTTCTTTTTATAAACTAAACATTGGGAGTGGTTTTGGTTAAATTGTACTTATAAGAAGTTGTTTTTCTGTTTGTGTGCTTGGAGATGTTGCTGTTTTTGAAGAAAAAATCCTGTAATTTCAGGATTTGTATTGACTATGATAAAGTTATAGTGGAAGTAGCAAGAATGTAACCTTTCATTCAATTTTCTTGCACCCTTAATTTGATTGCAGGTAGCCATAATAGAGGAAGCACTTGTCCATTGCATGAATTCTGACAACTGTGGGAACAGGGAAAGCTCCTGTGTGTTCAGAGCTGGCCTTGTGAAGCAGTGCCGGCAGCTTTCATTTAACAGCATCCTGTGCATTGGTACAAGAGAATTCTGTTGTGCACGTTTTATAAAAGTGCCATATGACTTAAATTTTAACACATTCTGCTGCCTTTTAGTATTGTAGTGTTCATGGAAAATGTGCTGTAAGACTAGAAACATGATTGTGTTATACAGTTAATTAAAAATAAAGGCAGATTTTTAATATGAGCTCAGTCACTGAAATACATCAACAAAGACTTTTTTGTTGGCTGTCAAGTGAGAAAAACAGAAAAGACTCAAATTCTTTCTCTAATATTTCCTTCCAGTCTGACTCATCAGTAGAAATTGTGAAGAGCTGCAGAAAAGAAGCCAAACAGACAAGCTGATAACTCAAAGAACTCTTTTGAGTTTGGGGTTCAGAGTGGAGTCATCATGAGCGATGTTACCATTGTGAAGGAAGGCTGGGTACAGAAGAGGGGTAAGTTCTCCCTTTTAATGGAGAGTGCTTCTGATGTATCATGCACTTCGGTGGTATTACATAGTTACACAGATGCTTGATTTATCWTCTGGTCTGGAACAAGCTACTCTGACCACATGGAATTAGTGGCCATTAAGGCCTTGTTAGTGTGAATTTGTAACCCCCAGCACTGCCCGTTTGTAGGGGTAACTGCCAGTGCAGAGGAAGCTGGGCTCAGTAATTCCCATTTAAACTTGAACCTTGTAGCTGCAGCTGCTGTTACCTGTGCATCAGACTGAGCTGGCTGTTGTGGCAGCTGGGAAAGGAAGCAATAGAGGTGTGCAGTCAGAGGTTGCCTGGAAGCTGCTGTAGATATGATATTTTGTGTGAAATTTCTTAGATKCCAAAATCATTCAGTGTGGCTCAGCTTGTGTTACAAATGTGAGTAGTCCCAGTAAAAGCAACATAGTAATTGCATAAAGCTCAGCATACACCTAATTACTTAGTGGACCTGGAAGCCATATGATTAAAGAATATGTTCCTAAATATAAGCCAGTCTTAAGTACTATTTTCTGTTATATTTGAATTTCTGTGAATTCTTGAGATGTCTTTTTAAAATGTTCCACCATGTGATTTACAAATTTGGGGAGGTTGCTGTGTGTTAAGCTTTGAATGTGAAACCTATAGGAATATCTGGCATTCACATCATGTGATGAACTTCGGTTGGAATCTTCCATGCTTCATGCTGCTCTGCTTTAGATTGCAGTTGCACACATGATTATTTTCAAAAGAATATAACCTCTCTCACAGAGAGAAGGTGATCTGGATTTTAGGGTGATTTATGCCATGAGTTTCTGTGATCCTAGCCCAGAAAAATTAGGCTGTAATAGTGGGAATAAAATTACCCTTTAATTTACAAAGAAATGCTTTGCTTCAATAGCAGTGTGTGAAGACAAAGATCATGATTAACTTTATTACTCCAGATTGACATTAAATGTCAAGGAAGGCAAGAGAATGCAAGAAAAAGTTTATTATTCTTTTATTATYCCTGCATAAATTATATTTCTGGATGCATTATGGGTATTGTAGATGAAAATGAGCTAAACTGTATTAAGCTTAAGGCCTTCTTCCTATTTTGGAGTATATACCTTTATTTACACAAATAATACTTCGCATGACAGGAACTATTTAAAATTTCAAATTATTTTTTCCTTTCTATCTTGTTGCTTCCCCAGTTTGGAGATCAGATTTCTTTTCTTTGATTATTTCTTTCAAATATATTTGAATGGTTAGGATACTCTGAATAATTTTCTTTTACATGACATCAATTGCTTCATGTAATACTGCTCATTCTTATTACAGCTGCTATCAACTCTGAGCTCTGGAAATGCATGTATTAATTACTGGGATCCAGAAAAGGACAATGTGCCATGAAACTCAGTGTCTTACTTAATATATGAAATTCTGAAATGTAAAATAAAGGTTTTTCTTCTCATCCCATCCTGTTTTACTATATATTAACTGAAGAAAAGCCCACTGAGTTGACATTTTGATGTCAGTATTGTTAGTAATTGTTTTCTAATTAACGATGTTCAGTGACATGCGTTTTTCCTTATCATAAATAACTGAGTGAATATATGGTTGTTTTCTTTTTCTTCCTGCTGTAGGTAACTGTGTAGGTTTTAGTGGGAYTTTCTAAAATTGCATTTAATATTGTCTTTGATTTTCTTTGTCTGACATAYTCTGGTTGTTGGTGAATTAAAGTGTTTCTTTTGTTTGTTTCTGAAAWCAAAAGGTTGCATTTCACAATGTTAAGGATTCATAAGCATTTCATTCAATGTTTATGCATTTCAAGTAATTACTACTTTTGCTTTGACCTTGCTCTGGAGCAAGAAAATTAAAGTTAAGTGCATTTTTTAAGTGTTGCCAAGAAAAAGTATCCAACTTTAATCTATATTCTGAAAATTGGAATATGCTCAGTAGGCATTTATTTTGGCAGCTAAATATTCTCTGTCTGTACGAAGAAACATTATGGGATTGGGTAAAGCTGTCTTGCTTCCACAAGCTATCATTCTGTTACAGTTTTAAAGTGAATTCTTTGATCATCAACACTTGATATCACTCATTGTCTCAGTTCACAGTTTTGGTGGGTACAAACCACATTCCACCTGGTGGAGGGTGGGCATGGGATGTCTTCTCCAGTCAGACCATGAATGAATTCCAGCCTTGTTGACCAGCCCTTTGCAACATAAATTCCTGAGACTCCAGACTGAATTATCTAGACTTAGAACTTGTAAACCCTTCCTGCTGGGGACACAGGGGTCTGGGCTGGGCTGCTTCAAACTGATCTGTTTCTATTATGCCAAATTATAGCCACATGACTATAGCCCTGGACCTTTTAAAATTGTCCCTTAAGCAGTCRATATGGTTTATGGTACAAGGAAAAGGAAAAAAAACCCAACCTCTTTTCCTGATTCGCAGTCAAGTCTGGGAGCATGAGGATGACTTGAAGGTATTGGGATGAATTGAGGAGCTGTCTAATGAGACGGGCCATTACAAAGGCAAGTTAGGTGAACTCAATGTAGAAATGAGAGGGGAGAACTAAAAATAGAGCTGGGGATCTCTGAATTGAGACTCTGCTAGAGAGAGGCTGGGGAAGACAGGGTATGTTAGGGCACTGTGAATGGCTGTGAAATGCAGTGAAAAGATGTTTGCTTTATTATTCTTAGTGCTGGATCCATGTCAGTAATAGAGGGCTGAGGGCTATATGTTTGTAAGGCTTTAACCCTGTTGTTGAGCACTGAAGAATCTGATCTGATGCTGCACAGTTGGCTTCGAAGCCCTGTTTTTCTGTGTGTACTTAAATGAGGCACCCAATAAAGCATTAATGTTTCACTCAAAGTTTGGAAGATGCCTGACTTAAGTTTTTTGAGGTGGTTCAGGTTTGGGCTTTTAGYAGTCTTTAGGAGAAGCAGTTTCAGTGTGAATCTGGATGATCCTGAGAAAGAGTAAGCTGTTGTATGTGAAAGGTCAAATGGGCAGCGATGATGGGCTGGAGGTGAAAACTTTGGACGACAGAAGACACAAAACCCAGGAGGAAGCAATGYCTGAGAAGTTTGGTGAACCTCAGGTCCTAGATGAAGGGAGACCCTGAAGCACAATGACTTGGTGTGCCTGAGCAAGTAATGCAACCCATCGAGAGCAGATTCAGAGCATGAAATAGATGATGATGGGCACTCGATACTATCTAAACTTAGTGGATCTGTAAAGAGAAGTGGTTATTAATTTGGACTGGCTCTTGTCTACTTCTGTGCCCCATTGGCAGTGGTAGTGTTCCTGGAGTCCATTGTGTGTCTTTTAGTTTCATCTGAAAGGAGCCACATTTGGGTGCTCCGGGAGTGCTTCATGCGGCAGAAGGAAGTGCATTAACTAGGGTGCTGGCAAGATCTGCTGCAAAAGTGCTCTGCTTAGCTGGACTAAAGTAAGAATTCACATGTACCCTGCGAGACATCAGAACYTGAACAAGTGGAGAGCCACCAGTGCAGTCTCCTTAGTGTCTCCTGTGTGTCTGCTCAGGCAAGAGAGGAGTGGGAATGTATTTTGTATGGATGGCTTCATGGTTCCAACTTACTACTGTCTTAGATCTAGTGATAGGAACCATCTCATGGCCTGTGTCCATGTGTGGCTACAAAGATATTCTTGCAATTCTGTGAGGGTAATACATCTTTCTGTTCTCCCGTTACTCCTGTAGCCAGATTAGGAGAGAGATGCGTTATCTTCCTTTATGAATTTGCTTTTTAGATGACACCAACATATTTCCTTGTAATGCATACAGATGAAAGGGAAGCAATTTTGACTAAAAACCTTAAATACAGTGACCTGAACCTTGTTACTGATGTGCAGAAATTAAAACAAACATTTGACATTTCAGTTAGTAAGCACTGTGCAGTAGTTGCTGAAATGACTTTTAAATTTTGGATTTGCTTATCAGGACAATGTTTTGCAGAGTGAATGTTTTAAAATTTTTTTTTAAGTTAGTGTTTTTAATTTTACTTAACATGTTTTTACTGTATTTACTAAATTAAATGTAATTATTTGCAGAGGGAGATGTGTTTTTAATTTATCAGTTTGGAAATGTGTTTTTCTTACATGGATGAACATGCTTAGTGTGATTAGAGCTGTATTATTACAAAAGTGAGTTTTATGCATATAAATCATGTGGTATTTTTTCTTTAAAGCCAAAGTTTTCTGAGTTGTAGAGTTGACCTTGTCTGTGCTCCATAATAGTCACAACAATTAGATTTAAGAATCTTTCATWACTAAGCTTGATTGCAACCTAATTTCTTTATATATAACCTGTGCACAAAGTTTCAAATTTAAACATATGAAAAGGTTTAAGAGTTTCTGTTACCATGTTATTGAAAGATCATTAGGGACAAAGGAAAAATTGACACAGATGCTAACTTTTTAAAGGACCCAATTTTAAATTTAACGTGTCAGCTAACTTGGTGTTTAATTGAAAGACTAAGGTTTTAGTTTAGCTGAGGGTACACCTAGTACATATGGCACAACACGATGGCTAAATCATTATTTAAAGACAAAACAAGTCTTTAAATGGTGTCAGTTTAAGACAGTGCTTTTGTTGTACTTCATTTGCCTTACCTCTGCATTCTGGTGTGCCATGTTAGGTAATGCGGTTTGCCACGGCAGTCTTTCCCTGGGTTACTTGGTGCATGTACTTGCATTCCAATTTTGTAGAGGGGGAACCAAAATACAAATTTGTTGTGGCTTAACTGTAATAGTTTAAGAAGTTTGATGTAATGAGATGGTAGTAAAAAAAACAGATGCCATGAGGCTTTCCTGTAATGAGATTGTCCTGTAAATAGTGTATTATTGAAATACTGTAATGTAATTTTTCGCTCAGTGTTTTTCTTTTTTTTTTCTTCCTTTTTTTTTTAAAATACAGCGTTTCATAACTTCTTAGTATCTAAAATTGGAGTCGTGTTAGTATTTCTAAACTC